TGCTCAAATAACAGTAAGGATATTCAGACATTTACCTTTTCCCCCTGTAACTTCCAGGTTTTTATATAAGGGTTTACTAAAATGTGCATGATGCCTTTAGTTGTTCTTTAAGTCTTCCTGTTTCCTGTTTCCATGCCATATTATTGTGCTTTCACATAATCCTGCCTGCTCCTCTGTGATACTGCTAATTCTACTTGTTACCTTGGCTTGTGACCCCCAATGCTTATTCTCTGCTACCTGCACCAACCCTGGCTTGTAACCTTGATGCTGTTTCTCTGAAGTCTGAACTGACCCTGGTTTGTGACCCTGATGTAGGCTTTGTGACTTGTCTAAGTGAAAAGATATTGCAGTTCATGTCCCACTTGTCTTTTAACTGCTCCAGTGTCCCATTATAGGAACATCCTGGTGGTTCTTGATTATGCAACAAGGTATCAAGAAGAGGTGCCTCTGAGGAAAACGTTCTCCAAAGTAACTGCTTGACAGTTATTTGACCTGTTCTCAAAAACAGGGTTAGCTAAAGAGATCTTGACAGACCAAGGCATTCAGGCCAAAGGTGATGGCAGACTTATGCAAGTTATTCCAGATTTAACAATTGCTTACTTAAATGCTCCCTAACCTGAAGAAGGATCGCGGCTGGTTGAAAGGTTGAATAAAATCTATGCTCAAGAGGACTTCTGTCAAATGGTCCTGCTGGAAAGCCAGAATTTGACCAGCACATGCAGTCAATGTCTGCAGCTCTGTTCTGTGTATTCTGACTGGGGGGGAGCCCCTTCTATCAAAATACATTACCGCAGGGGGAAATTCTCACATCATTGGATACAGCAATCTGTCAGGTTTTTTTTTTTTATTTTCGCTTAACCTGCTGGTTGAATGAAAAAAAAAACTGTCCACATATACTCAGCTTTACCAGTGTAATTGAACACAACATAATGTGTGAAGGTGCAAATACTATAGAGCCATATTGTGTTCCTGAGACACACAGGAAAGCCATACTGGAGGAGGTTCAGAAAATGCTTGAACTTGATATATTTGAGAAATCAGAGTCAATGCTCAGGCCTGATTGAGTTGGCACATAGCCAAACAGAACTCTGCGGTTTTGTAATGATTTAAGAAAACTCAATGAGGGTTCAATGCATATCCGATGCCCCAAGTATAATGTAATTAGTTCATAGAGAGGTTGGAGCCAACTAGTATATGACCACCTTAGACATTACCTAGTGTTACTGGCAGATACCTTTAACTAAGGATACCAGAGAAAAGATGGCATTCTCCACTGCAGAGGGTACCTTCTAATATAAAGGAACGCCATTGAGTTGCATTCTACCATGGCTACATTTCAGAGAGCAATTAATAAAACACTATGCCCTCATCAGAAATACACCTCAGAGTATTTGGGTGACATTGTTATCTTCAGTACAGACTGGGAGTCTTCCCCGAGCTAGTGTTGATTTTGTAACGCAGGAGGGGTTTACTGTTAATTTGGAAAAGTGTGCCATTGCAATAGAAGAGACCAGGTACCTGGGGTACTTTGTGCGTAGGGGTTTGTTGAAACTTCAAATACATATGTTAGAGGCTAATCAGGCTTGGTCTCGCCTCATCACAAGTTATGCAGAGCTTATAACTATTGTTTATATAAAAGTACATCTGGGTAGCAGATGATTTCATAACCTGTAAGCAACAAGCACATACTGGAAAGATAAAAATACAATATCAAGGTAGAAAATTTTCGAAAAGGCTGAGGACTGCTCTTCAAGACGTAGACTGGGAGGGAATGTTGGCATTGATGAGCACAGAACAAAATGAGAATGCTTCAAGTGACTGTATGTAAACATACTGCAAAAAATATTCCCATGGGCAATAAGTTTAAAAGGCTAAAGATAAAAAACGTGAATCACAGCCAGATTTAAAAAAGCTATCAATAATAAAAAAGAACATTTAAAAAAATATAAAAATTAAGAAACACTATCTTACTTTAAAAGTACAAATAGACAGCAGGACAAACCCCCAAAAATGTATTCAAATATATTAACAGTACAAAGGAAAGGTCAGTGCATGTAGGCCAGTTAAAAAATAATTTAAAGTTGGTGACTGAGGACAAAGAGAAAACACATTTATTAAGTACCTTCTTCAGCTTTGTATATGCAAAAAAAATGGGGGAGCTCAAGTCCATAATGGGGATGATATTGACATAGCCCTGAATGAACCACTATGGCTCAATAATGATATGGTCCGGAAATATTTAGACAGAATAAAGGTGAATAAAGCACCTGGACCAGATGGCTTACAGCCATGTGTTCGAAGAGTTGAGCTCTGTTATTTGAAAGCCATTGTTTCAAATTTTTAGGGACTCTTTAATGACTGTCATAGTACCACTGGATTGGTATAAGGCTATTATGGTGCCAATATTTAACCACTTGCCGCCCTGCCACTGTAGAAATACAGCGGCAGGGTGGCACGGGCAGGCAAAACCACGATTTAAAACGTGTGTTTTGTAAACAGGTAGGGGGCGTGCGCGAGGCGTGCCGCCTCCCTACCTGTCCCGCCGATCACAGCTGCGGATGTCAGTCGCCAGGTCACAGTTGGTCCTTACCGGCTATCTCCCGGCGATCGGCGGCAATCAGTGACAGAGAGCACAGCTGCAGTAGCTGTGCTTTCTGTCACTTCCCTGACAGCTCCAGGACACGGTGATCAGGATAGAAGAGTTTCACTCTCCCGATCAGCCGTGTCCCCAGCAGTACACACCCCGCCCCCTAGTAAAACACTCCCCTCACACAGATAACCCTTTCCTTCAAAATAAACTTAACCCCTTCCTCCCCAGTGCCATTAGTACAGTGTCAGTGGGTTTTTTTTGCACTGATCACTGTATTGATGTCACTGGGGATGTCAGTGACCCCAAGTCAGTACCCCCCCAGTGTCAGAATGTCCGCCGCAGTCCCGCCATAAGTCGCTGATCGCCGTTATAAGTCCCTGATCGCCGCCATAAGTCGCTGATTGCCGCCATTATTAGTATAAAAAAAACCTAAAAATCCCAGTATCTTTCCCGCCATTTGTAAACGCTATAACTTTCACGTAAACCAATTAGTTTACACGTATTGGGTTTTTTTTTTTAGCAAAGACATGTCGCAGAATGCATTTTGGGCAGAAATTTATGACTACATTTGATTTTTAGTTTTTTTTTTTACTGGACATGTTTTATAGCAAAAAGTCCAAAATATTGTTTTTTTCCTCAAAATTGTCAGCCTTTTTTTTTATAGCGCAAAAAATAAAAACTGCACAGGCGATCAAATACCATCGAAAGAAAGCTCAATTTGTGGGGAAAAAAAGGACATAAATTTTATTTATGTACCGTATTGCATGACCGCGCAATTGTCCGTTAAACTAGCGCAGCGCTGTATAGCAAAAAAATGGCATAAATTGCAGTTTCTATACCATAGTTTGTAGACTCTATAACTTCCACACAAAGCAATCAATATACACTTATTGGGATTTTTTTACCAAAAACATGGAGCAGAATACATTTTAGCCTAAATTTATAACCAACTTTGAGTTTACTATATATTTTTTATAGCTGAGAGTAAAAAATATAATTTTTCTTCAAAATTTTTGGTCTTTTTTTGTTTATAGCGTGAAAAATAAAAGCGTACAGGTGATCAAATACCACCGAAAGAAAGCTCTATTTGTGTGAAAAAAAAGACGTAAATTTCGTTTGGGTGCAGCATTGCATGACCGCGCAATTATCAGTTGAATTAGTGCAGCGCCGAGTAGCAGAAAGAGGCCTGGTCATTAAGGGGAGTAAATCCTCTGGAGGTCAAGTGGTTAAAAAGAGAACAAAGTCTTTACTAAGTAACTACAGACCGGTCACTTTAACTTCTTTAGTTGGTGAGATACTGGGCACTTAACAAAAGACCACATAGATGAGTTTTTGCTATAAAAAATATTTGAAGCAATAGACACCATGATTAACAACTTCCCTCCTGGCCTATAGCAGATTGACGGCTGGGCGAGACACTCTTCGTTGTGACTGGGCATCATATGACGTCCTGTCAAAAGGAGCCATTCATGCGGCCACGGGGCCATGCAGCATTGTGATGTGTCACCAGCTGTGTCCACGGGATAAAGTTATGCACTTGGGGGATAAAAACATGCATGCATCATATATTCCATGAAGAGAACAGCTGAGGGAGTCAATGGTGGAGAAGGATCTAGGTGTTCTGGTAGATCATAGACTAAATAACAGGATGTGATGCCAAGCTGCAGCTTCTAAAGTGAACAAAATCCTTTCTTGTAATAAAAGAGGTATGGACTGCAGAGAAATTTTACCCCTGTACAAATCATTAGTAAAACCTCATCTAGAATATGACGATCAGTTTTGTGCACCACAATTATAATGGGGAGCTAGAGAAAGTGAAAAGAAGGGCAACCTAACTGATAACTGATAAAGAACAGGGAGAAGCTCATCTAGAAGGTAAGATTAGAGGATTTATTCTCTTTTGAGAAGTGGAGATTAACAGGGAATATGATCACCATGTATAATACACAAGTAGCCCATATTGTGAACTTGGTTTAAAGTTATTCACTTTAGGATTATCACAAAGGACAAGGAGCAACTCTTTACATCTGGAGGAAAATAGATTTAAACTCCACATATGGAATTGCTTCTTCACAGTAAGAGTTGTGAAAATGTGGAATAGATTCCCTTCTGGCCAGCTCAGTAGATTGTTTTAAAAAAGGACTGGCCAGAAAGGGAAAAAAAATATTCTGAACCAATGGACTGCAGACATAGTACAGGAGATGACCAGAGACTGCGGACACAGTACAGGAGATGACCAGAGACTGCGGACATAGTACAGGAGATGACCAGAGACTGCGAACATAGTACAGGAGATGACCAGAGACTGCGGACATAGTGCAGGAGATGACCAGAGACTACAGACACAGTACAGGAGATGATCAGAGACTGCGGACATAGTACAGGACATGACCAGAGACTGCAGACATAGTGCAGGAGATGACCAGAGACAACAGACACAGTACAGGAGATGACCAGAGACTGCGGACAGCACAGGAGATGACCAGAGACTGCGGACAGTACAGAGGATGACTGACCAGAGACTGCGGACAGTACAGGAGATGAGAGACTGCAGACAGTACAGAGATGACCAGAGACCACGGAGAGTACAAAGGATGACCAGAGATGTCCGCTCTGCAGTGGGACCTTACCTGTTCCTCTATCCAGCGGCGCGCTGTCTTCCCAGCTTCTGCAGTGTGGGCGCTCAGCTTGACAGCCAGGTGCCAACTGCGCATGAGCGAGAAGCGCTGCGCTTTGTGATTGGTCCAGCGGCTTCTGGGACCTGCCATGTGTCCCAGGTGCCGCCTTACCATTCACAAAGCGCAGCGCTTCTCGCTCATGCGCAGTTGGCACCCGGCTGTCAAGCCGAGCGCCCACACTATAGAAGCCGGGAAGACAGCTGGATAGAGGAACAGGTAAGGTGCTGCTTCAGAGCTGAGCGGGCCGGCCCGGTATTCTGACACGGCGGCGGTGGAAATACCGGACCAGTCGCTCCATATTCACTCCATAAGACGCACTGACATTTTTTTTGGGGAAAAAAGTGCGTCTTATGAGGCGAAAAATACGGTACTTTGATACAGTTGGCAAGCTTAAACATGTATTGTAATACATGTGAACTAAAAATCCTGAGATTGTTGTTAAGTGCACCAATGCTCAAAGGGCCTCAATGATAGCTGGCAGAAGAACATCTCAAAAGACTGCTCTTCCTATATTAATTATTCTGCAAGTCCCCTTTGTTCCCTTGGCCCCTCCACTACCATCCTCCTCGCACCCGGTAGATTAAACTTTACTACTTCTCACTGCTGCACTTGAGGTGGCCTTGCTACTGTTTATGATGAACTGGATGCCAACTATCATTATATGCCTAGTCCTTACTGTTAATCACGTTGCTTGAATAATTGTGTTATTACCATTGTTATTCCTTTTTATGCTTGCCTGGTTACCAACCATTTTGGGTGACAATATTTGCCTTTACTACCTGGTTTGGTGCCTGATTTCTGTGTAATACCTATGGTAGTGAGCTCTATAGATCCACAGCTTGGGGTTCCCCAGGGCACGGAGTCTAAGCCCCAGCCTGCTTGTTCACCAGGGCCCCTGATGGTGGGGATGGACTTGCAGCAGGCTGGGACCAGGTCTCGGCCCCCAGGTACACCCAGCTGAGGTGGAGGAGAACACTAGCGGGAGCAGGGTACAACGGGAGAAGACACAGGGAATCCAATGGGCAAGCCGAGGTCAGGACAGGTGGAAAACAAGCAAAATCAGGATTGAAGCCGGGGTCGGTACACAAGTAGACAACACAGGATTCATAGAGGAAACACGCAGGAGCTCCAACAACACAAAGTTGATCAGGCAATGTGGCCTAGTCTCAGCATATCTTATATAGACAAGCAGACAAGGAGGCGGGACAGGAAGTGATGGAAGGGAAGGAAATGAAACCCAGAAGACAGCAGATGACGCCCATAGAAGAGCACAGACAAACACACATGTGAAGGAATCAGAAGCTGCAAGGAGGTGAGAATAATTAAACAAGAGGCTGCAGGCTAACTTGTAACAAATAGCACTACTATTCGGTAAGTATTACTCTGAATGAAATTCTGTGATGTTGTATGTTTGTACACTCAACCTAGTGTGTCAGAGGGGCTGAGGTTCTTGAGAAGGTCGAAGCAAAGAACAGAGGACCCATTTTATTCAGCAGCTCCTACGGGGGGAAAGGTAAGCTGACATTTCAGCCACCAAACAGTTCTGCATGATATTAATACATATATAAACCCTAATGGTTGATTTATCAAAAAGGAAATAGTGTGTAAACTGGTTTGTACATGTCAGGGACCATCGCAACGCATGGGTCTGCACATGCGTAGGTGTCTGTCAAGACATGCAGGCAGCAGGGCACTAGGACCCAGGCGCACCCTGTCGTCTATGACAGTGCTGGGCAGGCACTAGGACCTAGGCTGCACCTGTCAGGTGCAGGGCGGGCTACTTAAACCAGCCCTGCACAGACACTTGTTGCCGAATGGTCTTTCTGCGATTCCTGTTATCTGATACCTGTGTTGTGAGTACTATTGATCCGGATTGGCTGACCTTGCTGCTTTCTCCTATCCTGACCCCCTGGCTTGCCTGATTTCGCTCCTTGATGTTCCCCTTTAGATCTGATCTCCTGTTCTTCACCTGACGTGTGACCCGACAATTCTTTGCCTACTGTTTTGTACCGCACCGACCCCCCGGCTACCAACTCGGCTTGTTTGACTTAGCTTTCGCTCCTCCGTCCATCCATCCCTCTAGGACCCCCTGGTCCCCTCACATCAGACTCTCACCCTGCAGGAGCCCCTGGCGGACTCCTCTACCACTGGTGGGTATATCCAGTAGTCGCGACCTGGTCTCGGAGCGCTCCAAGTCCATCCCCACCATCAAGGGCTCTGGTGAACAAGTGCTCCGGAACTTAGACTCCGCGCTCTGGGAAAGCCCGACCAGTGGGTTGCTAGAGGTGCTGTCAGGTGTTCCCTTACAGTACAACATACAATTAAAAGTATTTTGTTACAATAAATTTTAATTTTAGAAATGTAGTGAGATAACTTTCTGTGCTTTCTGCCTGTAATGATTATTATCACCTAGAATTGTTCCCAGTTCTCTTTGTGGATGACAGATTTTCTCCCCTATCATGTTATGGAGAAGATGTCGGTGTGTTCGGTAGTCCAAACATACCTCTGGCCTTTGGTGACAAGTCTGTTCTTTCTTTTACCATTGAATACAAGGTTTCCTCTAAATGGCCAAGGTGGAAAGATGGACAGATGGCATCACAATTTCCATCTCAGCGGAAGCCTTGTATTCAATGATAGAAATAGACGACTTCTTCTGAATGATGTAGAATCACTCAGTCTAACTCTTTTTAATTCTGACAGCAGGCGGGAAGTTGCCTGTACTGCTGCCAGAAACACAACATGGATTTACTATATGTAGCTAAGACTAGTACAGTATATTACAGCACAGCTAGCCACATTCGTAAGTAATGGAAATAGTTTAGAAACTCTAATAGCAATATCTCTGCTGAAACACAGTAACATCAATTAAAGCCTGTCCAAGTTCCATGTGTAGTGGATAAAACCATGTAAGCTTGTAAAATAAAAACTTCAAATGTTCAATTCAGCGTAAAATCCTGAAGATTCCTATAAACTTATGCGCTTACCACAAGAACATACAAACTGAGCATTGTATGTATGTCATCAGGTGTACCATCAACGGAAAAGGAGGCCTGGTTCCTACTGCGGGCAGCATCCGGTCACTAAGGTAGGGGATGTCAGCACTCACTCAGTGGTCACATCTGGCTCACCGGTAGGTCCAACGACGTCCAGCCTCCTGGTAGGTACTTCTCCTACGATGGTCCACCTTTCATGGCTCGCAAAATAACAAGCCACAAGGCAAAATGATATTGATAGTGAAGAACGTCTTTATTATATGATTCCAAAGAAAGGTAAAAAACTCACATTTTGAGCCTGCATCAGCCAGGTTAGCTTGCAACATTCCTGGTGGTTAATGGCTCCCTGGTGGTTAGTGGCGTCAGCTGGGTGAATCCCCTAACGTGTTTCGAGCAGACAAGCTCGTTATCAAGCTATCAAGCAGAGATATTGCTATTAGAGTTCCTAAATGACATTTATTTAGCGCTGCATACCTTTTTGATTTGTTTGTTTAGTTCAGAGGTGTTGAGGATTGCCCTGTATGCTATGCGCTCACTTACCTTATCATTTTTTGCATAATGGAAATAGTTTGTTTGGGAAAGCTTGTACAAAATAAACAATTTAAATTGACATGAAACCTGGAATTTTACTTTAAGGGACATATGGTTTAGCATCAAATTTTGAATGCCAAATTGTGTTTATATAAATTGAATAGGTAAAACGTCTATATAACATGCACAATGTGCCAACGAGATTATAAATAGGTTAGGGATGGAATATGTACCTCCATTGTGTGGGCTTGAATTTATTTATGTACATTTAGTTACAACATATTTGTTTTCCAAAAGCACTCTTAATATCTTTATTCCGTAAGCTATACACAACTGGGTTTAGCATAGGTGTTAATACTGTGTAGCACATAGCCACCAGAGAGTCGATATCAGCTGAGTAAGAAGCAGTTGGCCGAACATACATGAAGATCAAAGGCAGGAAGTACATGTTCACCACCACAAAATGTGATGCACAGGTAGAAAACATTTTCTTACGCCCTTTGAATGATGCTATCTTGAGCACAGAACTGATGATATGAACATAGGACGTCACGATTAGAGAGAAGCAGAACACAAGTACAATGGCACTAAGAGAAGAACCTATTACCACATTGAGTGAGGTTTCAGCACAAGCTAATTGAATTATTGGTGGGTGATCACAGTAATAATGGTGAATGATGTTTGAGCCACAAAAGGGCAACCTAAAAGCCAGTATGGCTGTTGCAATTGGGCATGCTAAGCCTATTATCCAAGACATCATAGCTAGGATGATATACAGCTGTTTGACCATGATGTTATGGTAATGGAGGGGAGAACAGATGGCTACATAGCGATCATAGGCCATGGCAGTCAGGAGAAAACACTCAACCCCTTGACAACCAATAAAGAAATACAGCTGGAGGAAACACCCCACATAAGAGATGACATCATTGTGCATGGAGAATTTGGCCAGCATCTTGGGGACAGTCACAGTGGTGGAACTTATGTCCAAGAACGAAAGGTTGCTGACAAAAAAAATACATTGGTGTGTGAAGTTTGCGGTCCAGAATAATGAGTAGAAATATAATGGCATTTCCGGTGACAGCAAAAAGGAGAGATAAAGAAAAAAACACAAAAAAGAAGAGTGCTGAAACTTTGAAGACTCGGAAAGCCATAGATGATAAACTCTGTCACCAATTTCCTTGAGAGATTGGTGGAATCCACATCATGAGGAACTTCTGTATTCACCTACACATGAATGGGATTATTATTATTATACAGGAGTTATATAGCGCCAACAGTTTGCTCAGCACTGTTCATTATAATGGGAGACAGTACACGAGACAGTACAGTAACAACACGATTCAATACACGAGGGGTTCGAGGGCCTGCTCCTTGGAGCTTACAATCTAGGAGGGAGGGGATAGCTGTGGGGAATGGAGTGGTAGGAAGAGTGGAGGAGTTCAGTAATTAGCTGAGGGCGGGGTAGGCTTCCCTGTAGAGATACTGTAGGTTTTCAGAGTGTGCCTAAAGGCAAGTAGAATAGGTAATAGTCTGATGGAATGGGGTAGGGAGTTCCA